GCCCCAGATTTAGAGGCGAAGGGCTGCTGGGTACCCGGTGAGCAGCTGGCCTCTCTTCTTAACCGCCGGTCATAGACACAAGGAATTTATTATTGTTTCTGCTCCAAACGTCCCGAAATACATTTATTTAGAAGTTTTGATGCCAGAATTCTTCCATAGATGTTAAAATTTAACAGATTGAAGACAGTACCTAACTAGTATTACCCGGTGAGCAGCTGGCCTCTCTTCTTAACCGCCGGTCATAGACACAAGGAATTTATTATTGTTTCTGCTCCAAACGTCCCGAAATACATTTATTTAGAAGTTTTGATGCCAGAATTCTTCCATAGATGTTAAAATTTAACAGATTGAAGACAGTACCTAACTAGTATGTGAAAAAGTAAGACTTGATTTAAATATATCACTAAGACTCGTAGCTGGGAGCAGCTGATGCATGCCTATACCCTCACCACCACCTGGGAGGCTGAGTCAGGAGGATCACTTGAGCCCAGGAGTTCCAGGCAAGTTTGGACAACATAGTGAGTCCCCATTTCAAAAAAAAAAAGAAAAAAAAATCACACACAAACACACACACACACACACACCTCGTGTGTATATCTACGCGTGTATGTGTATATAAAAACTAACTACAGGAGAGATGCTAAAACAATATATACGTTTTAATATCATCCCTCCCCCCCGCGTGACACCCCCTCCAGGCCTTTTTTATTTTGAGGCAAGGTCTCAAGAAGTTCTACAGGATAGGCTCAAATTTGCAATCTTCCTGCCGCAGCTTCCCAGACTGTTAGGACTGCAGGGTGGCGCTTCCCAGACCCCCTCCTGTTTTGGGATTTGAAAGTGTGTAGGAGCAGTTTGCCTAGCAAGTTCATGGCCCTGGGTTCGACCCCAGCACTAGTACACAGATAAACATGACAGTGAATGAATAATACAGCTGACAAAAATGGGGTAATGGTGATGTGTACGCCACTAATTTGTACACTGATTTGTACACATCAGTGAAAAGCCTAAAATGCTGGGCATAGTGGCACACACCTGTAGTCCCAGCACTATGGAGGCTGAGGCAGGAGGTTGGCTGCAAGTTTGAGGCTAGCCTGGGCTACACAGTGAGTCCAGGGCCAGCCTAAGCTACATAGTGAGACCCTGCCTCAAAAAAAAAAAAAAAAAAAAAGGAAAAATGGGGTTGGGGGGAGCCCATTCTTGGGGCTGGAACTCAGGGCCTCCAGCCTGCTAGGCAAGCACTCTACTGGTGAGCCAAGGCCCTAGCAGGATACTGATTTAAATCAAAACACATAGGACACTAACTGAATGTGACCTGTGAACATCTCAGTGATGCATTTCGTTTTTTACTTTTGCTAAATCCAAGTAAAACCGAGTATGATGCTTTTTTTCTTTGCTGGTGGTTCTAGGAGTTGAAACACAGGGCGTTGTGCATGCTGAGCAAATACTCTAGCACTTACTACATTCTCAGCCGTTTATTTAATCTTGCGACAGGGTCTCGCTAAATTGCCCAGCCTGGGCTCAATCTTCCGATTCTCCTACCCCAGCATCTCCAGTTGCGGGGCTATGGGTATTCACCACACCTATTACGATGCTTTTAACTCAAAATTTAACGTGTAGAATGATCCTATTGTTGTAAATGATTTCTCTTTATGGATTCAATTAAAAATTTAGTGTCTGAGGCAGGCTATAGCAAACGTTTCTAACACTTTATTAGTACACATTTGTAGTACATAATGATCACATCCCTGTGGGGAGCTGGCACATGTATGTAACATGTCTTAATTCTTTTTAATCCCTTTCCTCTCCCTTTTCTCCCATTCCATGTCATTGTTCCCTTATCATATGCAAAAGACCTATCTTGCTGATTCTTTTTTTTTTTTTGTAGTTTTGAGACAGGGTCTCACTATATAGTTGAGACTGACCTGGGACTCACTATGTAGCCCGGACTGGTCTCAAACTCACAGCGATCCTCCTGCCTCAGCCTCCCAAGCGCTGGGATTATGGCCGTGCACCACCACGCCTGGCTTCCTGTTGTCTATCTTTTGTTTTGCTCTTTATTTATATTTTTGGATTTCTCATATAAGAAAAAGTATGCAATATTTAAACTATGTGTCTGATTTATTTCACTTAATATTATGGTCTCCAGGTGCATCCATTTTCCTACAGATGACTCAAGTTTATCCTTATTTATGACAGAGTAGTGCTCCACTGTGTATAAATACGTTTTTTTCTATCCATTCATCTGTTGACACACAGGCTGATTCTAAGATTTAGCTATTTTGAATTAGGCTGCTACAAATACGGGTTTGCATGTATCACTGTGATATGAGGTCTTTAACTGTTTCAGGAAGACACCTAGAAGAGGAATAGCTGGGTTAAATGGAACTTCTTGTTCTAGGTTTTTGAGGAATCTCCCTACTGATTTCTATAATGGTTGCACTAGTTTACATTCATACCAACAATGTAGAAGGGTTCCTTACCCCCAACCCCCATAGCCTGGCCAGCATGTTATTATCTGATTTCTTGATGATAACCATTTTTCAGAAGTAAGATGGCTTCAGTGATGTCTCAGTGGTTATTTTTGTGGTTTTTTTTTTTTTTTCCTTTTTCTTTGTGGTTTTCTTGAGATGGGGTCTTGCTATGTAGCTCAGGCTGGCTTTGAATTCATTGAGATCCTCCTGCCTCAGCCTCTCGGGTGCTGGGATTACAGGTGTGTGCCAGCACACCTGGCTCAACACTGCAATCTCTTTTTCTGGTGCCTACTGAAGTTTTGCTGTTTGTTCAGTAGTTACTGAACTGGAATTACTGCTTAGCTTGCCTCAGAAGCCATCTGTTAGGAACAGTGAGTACAGAATTAACACAGGGGAGAGAGAAGTCTTTTATGTAAATAGGCCAAAGGTTAATATCAAAGAGAGCAAAAATTACCTTTTATTTATTTATTTGAGGGGTGGGGTTGAGACAGAGTCTTACTATGTAGTTGAGACTAACGTGGAACTCACTATGTAGCCCAGGCTGGTCTTGAACTCACAGTGATCCTCCTGCCTCAGCCTCCCGAGTGCTGGGATTACAGGCCTGCGCCACCACACCTGGCAAAAATTACCCTTAAAAAATCTATTTTAGGCCAGGCAGTGCACATGCCTGTGATCCAGCACTTGAGAGGCCTCTGCAGAGGCAGGAGGACTGCCGCGAATTCAAGGCCAGCCTGAACTACGGAGTGAGACCCTGTCTCAAACAAAACAAATCTATTCTAAAAATGTTAGACAAATAAATATATAAGTAGTAGCTTGAGGTAAAATTTGCAATGACACCAACAGATTAATACTTCAAAAATTTCCTTCTCTCAGCCAGTATGGTAGCACATGCCTGTAATCCGAGCACTCGAGAGGCTAAGGCAGGAGGATCACGGCAAGCTCAAACACAGTCTGAACTACACAGAGAGACCCTGATTCAGAAAAAGAAAAATAAATTCTAAAACTTTCTTTCTCTCAAATTATTTAAGCAAAAGTGAAGACGATGGACTTAGTAAAGCTAAGCCATTGACTCAAAAGTGGTTCTAGTGCTAATGCCAGCACTGGTAATAAGGATGCATGTGAAGATGAACAAGAACAATAGTATTTTTTTTTTTTTTTTTGGTACTGGGGATGGAATTCGGGTCCTTGTGCTTGCAAGGCAGGTGGCAGAACCACTGAGCTAAATCCGCGGCCCTGATAGTACATTTTTTTCCTTTTTATTGAGTTTATTGGTACAATCTAGGTCTACAATACAGTTACAATCGTTACTGGGATCCTGTATCTTCACATGACAGGTCTTGGTTCTCATTTTTTCCCCTTGTCTGATAGTATTTTTAAATCAGGATATTTTATTTGTTTTATGGTACCAGGGATCAAACTCAGGACCTTGTGCTTGCAAGGCAGGAGCAGTGCCACTGAGCTACATCCCCAGCCCAATTAGGATATTTTAATAGGTTATTTTGGCATACATGAGAAAATAAAGTAATACAAATAACATATAGAATATTACATAGTAGTGTACTAAGTTAACGGAAAAGTAGTCTTACTACGCAAACATTAAGTAAATATTCTAGGGGTACAGTAATTAATCTTTGTATTTTAAAATGATCAGACTAGAATGGGAAAAGATGATATGCCAAGCAGAATGTATCAAAATAAGTATTTATTGACATTTGACGCTTTGTACACACCTTTAAAAGTAAATGCGCAAATGTGGGGAGTTACAAAAAATATACCTACAGCCTTTACCTCCAAGGAAGTATAAATGAATACTCAAGAGCAGCGGTGCCACCACCATGAGAATAAAAAAATGAGTTTGTCCGGGTGCGTACAAGTAATTATCTTAAATATCAAATATTCTCCTTTGCAGTTACAACTCCAAAAAATACCAAGAGGCCATCTATATCCAGACAACCATTTTCTCTTGACTTTATGAGTAGTGGTATATATATATATTTCCATCTTTTTGTCCAGCTAGCAAGTGAGACTCTGTACCTGACCATTTTACAAAAGACCAGTTCTGGTCGGAGCGGGGCGGAAGGAGAGCGGTGCAATGGCCTAGGAGTAAGTCCCAAATAGCAACTGTTCCCGAAGTCAAGACGGCTGCCGCCAAGTGATCTTTCACGTCCCCTTCTAGGAACCTGACACCAAGCAGAAAGAAGACAATTCAGATGTGTAAAAAAAGGCCCAAACCATGCTCCCCAAAGCAACGCCTGGGACGAAATCCCCGTAACTGTGAATGCCAACATTGACAACCTGGCTTGTGCTGCAGCTCTGGACACAATCACACGCCTGCCTCGCCCCTGCCTGCCTCTGACTCATCTCACAGCTGGCTCAGTGTCTCTCAGGAGCCCACAGCAGTCCCCCTCAGGGGCTCCGCTTACTGCTGTCTCCCCAGGTTCCATCCTAGGTGGAGGGCGGTTACTGCACAGACAGGCCACACCCATCAGCAATATGAAAAGGGGCACAATCATCTCATTTTCATATTTGGTGGGTATTCCCCCCCCCCGCCAAATGTAAATACCATGAGGGAGAAAGCTGGTTGCCTTTTAGAAACAAGGGCAGTGCAGTCAACTATCTGGGTTTACAACTAGAGTTTTGTGACCCTGGCAGGTAGATTTCACCAGCGAAACAGGCTTGAGGATAGGAGTACTTTGCGGGACTGTTGGCGACCACTACTGTTTGCTATGCAAAGACAGACTGAGAAGGTGTCATCTATGAAGAAGGACATGGACAGACACTGGATTTGCCTGGCCTTGATTCTAGACTTCCCACTTCCAGAACTGAGAAATAAATGCCTATTATTTGAAAGCTACCTACTTTTTGGTGTTTTGTTATGGTAGCCAGATGGACTGAGATGTTTCTTATAGTTTTGGCACCAAACAGACATTTAAGGTTTAAGAAGTGACAAAGTAAATACTTGATCAAGTAGCTATCTTTATTCTCCAGTTCTAAGCCAATGACTGTGGTTCTCTGTTCATGTTCAAGAAAGCAAATTCAGCCAGGCATGGTGATGCACAGCTCTAATCCCAGCCCGCAAGAGGCTGAGGCAGGAGGATCACTGATGTTCAGGGGCAGCCTGAACTATGTAGCGATACTGTGTCTCAAAACAACAACGAAAAAAGAAAGCAAGTTCAAAGTGCAGGCATAGAGTGCAGATGAAAGTTCTGATGTTCCTGATAAGAATATTTACAGAAGTAAATTCCTGGCTAAGTACATAGGGAGAGAAAATGTCTTTTAAAGCAAGCAAGTGTTGCACAACATAAATTGTAACTGTGAAGGTTCCTAATCCTTTTGTGTTATAAATCTAGACTTTGTGATCTTGATTTATTTTGCGATTTTCTTTTTTTTTTTCCAGGACTACAACAAGCCTTTATTATGGAGAGGATCTGCCAGGTTGTCTCCGAACAAAGGAGAGAAAGCAACATGGCAGAACAGGGAACTTCTTTTATAGGAGCAGGGTGGGGGTTGAGTAAGGTAGTATTAAGGGATTGGAGGAGCCTGTGATATCACTAGGAGGGGCTTGTGACTAGGAGGTAGCAAGTATCAGGTTACTCTTTTGGCATGGAGAGGGACAAGTTGGGAAGAAGACTGTCCTTTGGTAGAAGCCATATTTAGGCGAGAAGCAGGGCATTATGGGAAGGAGAAGGCTATTTTATGTAGGAGCCATCTTAAGGTGAGGAAAATCTAACGTTCCAGGCTTTTGTTTTATGGTTGTTGGGCGAAGGTCTCTTCTTCTGGAGCTGCTTCAAACTGACAAAGGGGAAAAGTTCAGGGCTAAACCTGGATCTGATGGGGGGTTATTTTGCTATTTTCAATCCTTGCTGTCAATTTCAAACATTAATCAAAGCAGCCCTTAGGACTTACACATTCATATGTTTCTTGGTTGACCTAATAATGCCGAGGTTATAGACAGCTCAGAAAACTCTTGGTATGCCAAGAGTTGTGTCACTAAAATTGTTCAAGAAATAAGTAACAACTGCCTGTACCATGGGCTCAGTCAGATTTCAAGCAAAGATGCTTTCCTAAAGTGCCTTTACAAGACCCTTAATTTAGAACTATGTAAAGAACATATACTGCAGACTTGTGCAGAGAACATTCATTGCTCTGTGTGTATTTAAAACATCTGCCTTTGGGAGAAAACAAGGCTTGACACATATAAAAAACATATCTAACCCTAGGCTGCTAGGTATCAGGACATAGGGCATCTGGGGTTTGACTCAAATCTATGAAACGTCACTCTACTTCTTAACATCCTTGTTAGTATCTCCATTATTTCATGCTTTCCATTTACCAGAATGACACAAAAATACCTAGCTTTTGTATTGGCACAGTGCCTTCCAAAATGTCACACCCCCAGGATGATAGTCACACACTTGCCTTCCAGCCTGCCCTGGTGGGAGACAGTACAGCATCACACCCACATTCAGGGTTGTTTTAGGGTTCATCACCATCAGCTGAAACACGGGGCTGCCTGAGGACTCCGTCTCTTTGGCACAAGGATGACTCAGGATAACAAACAGGAGCCCCTAATTTAGGAGACAGATAACCAAACAGGCCATTAAAAGTATGCTTCACAGAGGTAAAACCGAGGAAAAACAGAAACAATCAATCTAGTCTTTAATATTCAAGATTTCCTCATTGGCTCAGACTTCTTTTTCCCAGTCAGGAACCACTGAGCTGTCACCAGGCTGGACTCCCAGTTCCTCCAGCTCGGGCTGTTTCTGGCCAGTCTCAGGCAGCACGGCCAGGCTGAGCCACCAGTTCCACTGCAGTTATTGCACCTCACGACATCCACTGGGGAGATGTCGGCACAGGCAAAGCAGACATATAAATGCACAGCCAGTCCTTGAGGTAGAGTAGTCAAAATGGAGCACTACTCAGCCACAAAGAATGAGAAACTAGAGACATGGATAGCTCAGTGGATGCACCTTGAGGCCATACTCGTAAGTGAAGTATATAGGACACACGTGTGTAAATACTGACTGGCTTCTCCGGCGTGAAAAATTAAATGTGTTAAAAAAAATAAAGAACAGTCATTTTTAAGTTGGTTTTTGAAAATTTGGAACACATTTTCCCATTAAAAATAATCTTGTAGCTGGGGATTTAGCTCAGTAGTTCCATCTCCTGCTTCACAAGCACAAGGTCCTGAATTCGATCCTCAGTACCAACTTATTCCAATTATAAAGTTGAAAAAATAAGGAACAAGGATGGTTTGTTAATCATTATGGTCAATGTTCTCTCTGGGGAGACCAAAAATCACATGCGAGTGAGCACAGAGACCTCACATCATCACTCACCGCTTCGGAGTAGGCTTTGTGACACACTGTAGCTTGGTAAGAATCAGCAATGCATATCTTTTTCAGGAGCTGACCAGTTTTTAAATTCCTTAGACACCAAAAAAGAAAAAAAGAAAAAAAGGCTGATCACATTCTCCCAGCAAACTGGCTTTCACAGAATACTCATTTATCACAGTATCTTTTAGGGGTGACCAAGCTAAGAACAAAGGGAAAAAGTACTTTGGTTTTGTTGAATAACAAATGAGCTATCAGTAGAACTATAGGTTAACAGTTAAATTTAATAGCTTAGCCTTAGAATGAATCTATTATGCTCCCAACGATAAGTTTCCAAATTTCTTGAGAAATTTTTCTTTTTTTATAGTGGCACTCGGGATTTGAGTCCAGGGCCTTCACACTGGCCCACATCCCGAGACCTCCCCCAGACCCCTTTTGTTTAGAGAGGTTCTCACTGAGTTGCTAACTTTCCCAGGGTAGACTCAAACTTGAGATCCTCCTGCCTCAGCCTTCCAGTGTTAGGATTACAGGCATGTGTATCATCATGCCTGGCCTATTTTTTATTTTGAGACAGGGAAAGAGTTCTCCCTTGTAGTCAGAAAAGAGGTGCCAACTTTGGTTTGCCTATCACAAATTTGTTTATTAATCTGGTTCCTATAACCATATGTGTGTATACATACTAATTTTAGAGTGTATCTTAGATACACAATATTGCAAAAGTTATCTTCTGCTAGGTTCCTCTGAAGAATATCAATCTTATTTGTTTGTTCTAGTAAACAGTTAACCTGAATGAATTAAAATTTCAAATGTAAAATTCCAGCTCAGTTCTTCAGCTCACCAGGGCTGGTGAAGTCTGCCCTGTGTGATGCCATCTACAGGCTCAGACAGACAGATGTTTAGGGAATGTTTTAGGATTCTTTCTTAGGCTTTCTCCTTTTGGGACTTTTCTAGCTACTGTGGTCATGCCGAACTCTGTCCTTTGGTCCTTTAATCCAGCAGGACAGCGTTGTTGTTGGGCCTTTAGTAATCCAGTGCAGACTGGGGCCTTTCCCTTGGCTCAAAGCCATAAGAATGAGAAATTCGCTCAGTTCCATTTTGTGTCTTCCTCTTTTGGGGGCAGAGGTACTGCACATTGAACCCAGGGCCTTGTGAATACTAGGCAAGTGCTCCACCAATGCATTATGTCCCCACCTCTCTTTTATTTTTGAGACAGGGTCTCACTAAATTGCCCAGGATGGCCTTGAATTTACAACCTTTCTGCTTCGGCCTCCCTGCCATGCAGCTGGGATCATGGGTGTGTGCACCAGGCCTGGCTCCATTTCCTCCTCCTGGATGGAGAAAGCCCTCCATTATCTTTCCTCTTTCTCTTGCTCTCCGGTACCTTCAGAGAGTTACTTTTTATGCTTTATCTATAGCTTGTGGTTATTAGAAACAGGAAGGTTCATCTGAGAGATGCGACTCAGCCCGTAAGCAGAAGTGCAAACAACTGCGCATTTCTGACAATAAAATTCCATTTATATTAAAATAGTCTACTCAGATTGATCTTTTTCCAAGCATACAGCTCTGACAGTAAAAGATAAGATAACCACAATGACATGTATATATATATTGTCTTACCTAATCTTCACAACCCTGTAAAAGTAGAGGCGTGGCCTCACATACATATGAGGAAACTGAGGGCCCAGAAGGAACGCTTACCAGATAACGGCTTACCAGATAACGACGTTGTTCACGGCAGTGGTACCAAGCAGAGATTCCTGCATCCCTTGGACCTCAGCAAAAGTTAGTATAGTTTCTTCAGGGGGCATCAGAAATTGTTTTTCCTTGCTCCTATATTTAAAACGGTATTACAAATCAGTACTTGTACTAAAGCAGTTTCTAAGTAGCTATTGTACACATCACTGAACTATGCATAACAAAAATTAACCTAATACAAAAAAAAGTAAAGCAGAAAATACATATTCTAAACTTTCTACAACTGAATACATAAGTACCTCAGATTTATCACATCCAATATTAACCTCATAAACTTTCTCTTTAAATCTAATTTGTAGAGTGAGGGTGTAGCTCAGGAGTACAGTGCCTGACCAGCAAGCACGAGGCCCTGGGTTTGATCTTTGATACCAAAAAAGACTCATTTCTTAGCTAGGTGGGGTGGCACATGCCTGTAATCCCAGTACTCTGGGAGGTTGAGGCAGAAGAAGCACAAGTTTGAGGTCAGCCTAGGGAACTCAGCAACATTTTCAAAATGAAAAAAGGGCTGGGGATGTAACTCAATGCAAAGGCTTTGGGTTCCAATCCCTAGTTCCACCAAAAACCCAACCAAGCCAAACCCTCTGCCCCGTGTTATTAGGAAACTCAGATAAGCAATAGCAATAATAATAAAGGCAGCCTGGAGGTGCAGCTCAGTGGTAGAGCACATGCTTAGCATGCATGAGGGGCAGGGTTCAAATAAATAAATACACAAATAAATAATAACCGGGATATGGCAGATAGAGAAGATGCTCTGAGCTTGTGTCTATAAGATGGTTAGTACACAGCAGCATGCAGGTCTAGGGTCCAAGGAAGAGCTCAGAGCTAAAAACATCCTTCTGCAAGTAGCCAGTACCTAATGTTCAATGAAGCAATGGCCACCACATATGAGGAACAAGGAAAGGTCTGAGGCCTTGAGGTACTCCCAATGTTTAAGGAAAGGACACAGATTTCAAAGAAGGTTAAGAACAAACTATGTGCCAAGCCTCTCCACTCTGTTGATTTCTTCCCTGCCACGACTGGCTTCTGCCTCTCTAACCTACTTCTTGGTTGCAACCTAGTGCAAAGGTGTGCTATGCTGCACCTGCAGACAGAAAAGCAAGATCCCAGCCATGCATTTCCTCTGAACCTGTTGTGAGTGACCTGCTTCTTCATCTCATAGTCAAAACCGGCCCGTGCTTCACTTACCCTCCATCTTCTGCAAAGGTCATGACCTCCACTTGTTGGTCACAAAGGGCCCTGCTGCTGTTCACAAGCCTCCTCTCGCTCAGGCCAAGCACAGCTTTTATGTTTCCAGATTTCAATAGCTTTTGCTTTTCACTTTTATCGTCAGAGGAACAGAGCAATGCCCTAAAGCAAATAAAAAGACAATTGGGAGGAGTCAGGAGGAAGCCTTTGATATATTAAGTGCACATTTTAAATAGAAACATCAGAAACATCAGTTAAGAGTGTCATTTTATTTATTTTTTACTATTGTTATTAAATCTCTTTTCGACCTAAACTCAGATTCATTCAAGACTCAAGCCTAGGTTATAACCTGAACTCAAAATAAGTAAACAAAGATGAAGGAAAGTAAAAAGAAATCCCTCCTTAGAAATTACATACCTGATTTCTCTGATTTCTAAATTTCCCAAGGCTACAAACACAAGATTACAAACATCAGGCACTGGAATTATTTGTAATACTGGAACCTATATAAACAAAGCAGATATAAGTAATATTGGGTTGTTTCATTTTAAATTATTTAAAATTATCACATTCTTTCAAGTTCTCACTGTTCTAGGATTGTTTCAAACATTTGTAAAATGTGAGAAGATTCAGAAAATATCCTTTTAATAAGATGTAGATGCAAAGAAGTTATGTGCATAAATATTTAGTTAGTACTTACTTTGAATTTGTTTGTTTTTTTGAGAGAGGGTCTCACTATTTGGTTGAGACTGACCTGGAACTCACTGTGTAGTCCAGGCTGGTCTCAAACTCACAGTGATCCTCCTGCCTCAGCCTCCCGAGTGCTGGGATTACAGGCATGCACCACCATATCCAGCTTATTTTGAATTTATAAAATAAACTCTTGCTAGCAGTGAACTTTTAGGCTCAAGCAATCCTCCTGCATTAGCTTTTTTTGGGGGTACCAGGGATTGAACTCAGGACTCTGCACTTGTGAGGCAGCAGCGGCACCACTGAGCTAAATCCCCAGCCCTGTAGTTTATATTTCTAACAATAGGGCAAAAGTTAAGTAAATTCTAGAAAGCAAATGAATTGAAATGAAAAAGAGATAGGAATGAATGAATATCACACAGCCATTTAAAATTATAAATTGGGCTAAGTGTAGTGGCACATGCCTATAACCTCATTGACTTGGAAGGCTGAGACAGGAGGATCATCAAAAGTTCAAGGCCAACCCAGGTAACTTAGCAAGAATAAAGGGGTGGAGATGTAGCTCTACAATAGAGTATCTTCAGATTGGTCCTCTGGTACAACTAAATTATTAACTAATTACAATAAAAATTTTTTAAATACAAATTGTATTCAAAAATTACATATTGGGCTGGAAACTTGCCTAGCATGTGCGAGGCCCTGAGTTCAGTTTTCTGCACTACAAAATAACTAGGTATAAAGTTTGCTTAAAATAACATGTTCACCCCAGCTAGCTGTGGCAAGAGGCTCAGTTGAGCCCAGGAGTTTGGGGTCTGGGTAACACGGTGAGATCCCTGTTTGTTTTCCTTTTTAAGAGTAGCTGACTACTTTTATTAATCTTAAATGGAATCCTCCACGAAAGATACTAGTAACTAAAAGCAGAGGGAAGAATGAAACCTCGGTTAGAAAACTCCATTTTTTTAATTTAAAAAATTTGTTCATATATATTTACAGTACATAATGATTATTCTCAGTGTAGGGAGTTGGTACATGTACCTAACACATCTTAATTCTTTTTTTTTCTGTACCCCTGACTCCCCCTCCCTCCATCTCTTAGTCCCCTTCTGTGTGTTTCTGTGTGTGTGTGGTACTGGGGAAGTGAACCTAGGGGCCACATTGTTAGCCTTTTATTTTTCATTTTTTAAGTTTTAAGACAGGGTCTCACTAAGTCACTAAAATGCTGAGGTTGAAACTTGCAATCCTACCTCAGCCTCCTGCTGGGATTACAGGTGTGCGCCACCACACCTTGTGAGACTCCTATCTCTTAAAAAAAAAAATTTGCAAAACAAAATCCAATTATATGTTTAGGGGCTAGGAGTGTAGCTCAGTGACGAAGCTTATGGTTAGCGTACACAAGGTCCTAGGTTCGATCCTCAGCACCTAAATAAATAAAAATAATTGTATATTTATTCACTAAACAAATATTTGTTGAGCTCCTCTGTGAAAAGCACAGAGCTAAAAGCTGTTAGTAGTGGAGAACAAGACCAAAGTATCAACATGTATGAATATGTAGAAACGAAAATATATGAAAAGCCAGATTAAAAAGTCTTAGGCACACCAGGACTGCAACCATGTAAAATATGTATGAAGGCAGACAAAGACTAGAAGGAAATACTTCTAGAAAAAGGAGAAATAATGTTTTGGTGAAGGGCAGGGAATATAGATATCACAAGTTTAGAAAGAAGAATACCCATGGAACTCTAAGCCCCTCCATGGGTCTAGTGTAAATCTGAGCAAACGTGATGATGCACACGAAGCACCGTGCTAATGGCAGAACCTGGACAGTGGGAACACGAGTGCTCACTGAGTGATTTTCTGTGTGTGGGAAAAATTTCATAGTAAGATGATGGAAAATAAGCCTAGTTCTCTGTTCTGCCATGCGTGGTCACAGGTCCTCATTCTGTTAAACTGCCCATCTATCTTATCACACAGATGACTTCAGGGATGCCTTCCAGCTCGATGATTCTGACTTACCTCTGTGAAGTGCCAGGTATGAATTTTTTCCCACTGACAAGGGTCCGCAGGTTTCCAAAGAGAAACCACATATTCACAAGCAGTTACGATACACAGATCTTTAAAACCAGCTTCATCCCACCACATGACGTTCACATCCACGGAACAGGAACCAGAAGGATTCTGACCGAGAACGGCAACAACAGTTAGGTTAAACACATACCTGAAGTCTGTGTTTTGAAAAGAGTGAGTACGAAAAATGATGAATTACAAGGGTTAGATAAAATACTAGGTAAATGAAATTAAAGTCTTATGCAGGTCAAAAGAGCAAGCTTTCTGGGTCTCATGCAACTAACAAAAACTGCCTGCACACATTTACAAAATGGATTTAAAATATATTAGTCTAGAATGGGATAAATGGGACATCAGGCCAGAATGTGATAGATCAGTCTAGGCACAAAAACAAAGCCCATAAAAACATATCCATAAAAACATACGTCCTGGGTTGAAGAGGGAATAACTGAAACCACATACAACAGACCAGTGAGGGCAAAATGAAGTTGCCCAAACTGCAACCCAAAGTGCCAACACTGCAATTAAACCTGAATGCTGAGGTTTTAGTTTACAAAAAACAACTCATATATCAACATCTCTTGACTTAAAAGAAAAAATAACATGCGTGCCACAGGTTCACCACCACGGGAATAGACTATCTGATTAAGACAAGGAGAGAACTGCAGCGTCACCTACAGAGCACCACCAAAACAGTATTTCCAAGAAAAAGTCAGAATCATAAAGGTATTTATTGGAAAACAAGAAAGATTAAAATAAGACCCAGCAAGTAGTTCAATAAGTTAGTTAAAAAACAAAACAGAAAACAAATGAAAAACAGAAGGAATTAAAAATAAAAACACATGGGGCCAGGGATGTAGTTCAGAGGCACAGCATCTGCCTGGCAAGTGCAAGGTCCTGAGTCCAATCCTCAGCCCCAAAACAAAACAAAGCAAAACAACCCAAAAACAAACAAAAAAGCAAAAAACAAACAAACAAAAAAACAAAAAAACAACAAAAACACATGAAACAGCAAACAAAAATTCAATACTCAGCCTTGCAAGTGCAAGTCCTGAGTTCGACCCCTGGTACAGGGGGCAAGGGGGATAATCAATAATCAATACTGTCAAAAACTAGAGAGCCCTCATCTTATTAAAAAGCTTTTGCACAGCAAGAGAAACCAACAACAGAGTGAAGAGCCAACCCACCGAGTGGGAAAAAATTTTTACCAGCTACTTAATTAAAGGACTATTATCTAGAATATATAAAGAACTAAAAAAAAAGATCTCCTAAATTTAAAGACCCAATGCAAAAGTGGGCATCTGCAATAAAAAGACACTTCTCAGATGAAGAATTAGAAATGGCAAATAAATATATGAAAAAGTGTTCAACATCACTGGTTGTTCATAAAATGCAAAGTAAAACAATGCTGAGATTCCATCTCCAGAAAGAACAGCTATTACCAAGAAATCAGCCAGTAACAAATACTAGAAGGGCTTTGGGGAAAAGGAACCCTTCTCCACTGTTGGTGGGAGTGCAGACTGGTGCAACCACTGTGGAAATCAGGCGGAGATTCCTCGAAAAACTAAAGCTACAGGTTCCATTTGAGCTAAATCTCTCCTTGGTATCTTCCTGAAGGAATTAAAAGTATCATACCGCACCGATATATGCACAGTTTGTAATAGCTAAATCTTGGTAACAGCCCAAATGCCCATCAACTGACAAGTGGATAAAGAAGATGTGGGTTTTTTAAAATACATTGGAGTACTACTCTGCCATAAAGGATGAGCTTCAGACATTTTTAGCTAAATGGATGGATCTTGAGACCCATACTCTTAAGTGCAATAAATTGGACACATGTTTAAATACCACATTGTTTCTCCTGGTGTGAGAAACTGAATGAGGAAATAATGAGTCGTATAAGGTATGTTGGGAAACGGGGAAAAAGTGTTCAAATGGGAAGGCAAACAAGGGAGGAGGGAGGGAGAAAGGAAGGGAGGGATGAGAAAAAAGTGAAAATAGAAGGAAAAATGGAGACAAAGCTTTTGTACATAGGGAGGGGAAGAGGTTTGGGAGGGAAGGGATAAAATTTTTTAAAACATATTAGCCAGGCGTGATGGTGCACGCCTGTAATCCTAGAACTTGGGAGGCTGAGGCAGGAGGATCGCTGTGAGTTCAAGACCAGCTTGGGCTACATAGGAAGTTCCAGGTCAGTCTCAACTACACAGTGAGACCCTGTCTCAAAAAAACCAAAAAAAAGTATTAAAAAAACAACTAGAGTGCCCTGTCTCAAAAACAAACACTAAAAAAAGGGCTGGGATGAAGCAGTATGAAGGCACTGGTTTCAATCCCCAGTACAGCAAAAAAAAAAAAAAAGGGGGGGGGGAGAAAGAGGTTTACATAAAAATTGCAAACATTAATGAAATGAGTAATTCCTTCAGAATCTGAAGTGTCTGACTCAAGAATAGCTTTGAAATGGCATTAGAGCATAGGTATTACCATTTATCTTTTAATTAACTGACTCATTGTTTGTTTTTGTGGCACTGGGGATGGAGCCCAGGGGTAAGCTATCACTGAGCTACCACCCCAGTCTTCTTTAATTTGAGACAGGGTCTTGCTAAGTCCAGGCTGGCCTTGACTTACCTTTACAGGCATGCACCACTGCACTTGGCACTAAGTATCTTCTATAGAAAAGGAATCTGGAGCTCAGAGGCTAAAAGAAATTTTCCCAAGGTCACATAGCCAGTCATTGGCAGCAGCAGTTCATGTGACGTGAAGTTCTTTCCTCTATCTATACCAATGGCTCTCAACTGGGAAAGATGTCACACCCCCACCTCCATCTCCAAGGCCACTTAGTAAGGTTTGGAGACATTCTTGGGCTTATGACACTGCAAGGATGAACCATCCACAATATCAAAATTTAGAACTGCTACCCATTTTAGGCTTTTTTTTTTTGGTACCAGGGATAGAACTTAGGACCTTGTGCTTGTGAGGCAGGCAGTAACACCACTGACCTAAATCCCCAGCCTGCCATTTTAAATTATTGTAAGTGATTCTCTTAGAAACATTAGATCATTTGGATAGGAGAAGCATGAATGACTCATCTCATGCTGTTAAAATGCCTGATTTAAATTTAGATACTAGCTTGAGTTACTTAGTTTAAATTGTCCTTGGCAACAACTTGACATGTAAGCTTCAGAAGGAAAGCTCAAAACATAATCACAGGTAGATGTTAATGAAAAATAATTCAAATCTGTTTTTTTAACCCTACATCTTTTTGTTGTTGTTTTTTTTTTGTTTTTTCTTTTGAGACAAGGTCTCACTATGTAGTTGAGACTGACCTGGAACTCACTATGTAGCCCAGGCTGGTACTGAACTCACAGTGATCCTCCTGCCTCAGCCTCCAGAGTGTTGGGATTAAAGGCGTACACCACCACGCCCGGCTCAACCCTGCTTACTCTTTAACAGTACTAGAAAACAGGAAGCTCCATGCATGGTAGGTAGCACAACACCTGTAATCCAACCACTCTGGGAGGCTGAGGCAAGAGGGTTACAAGTTTGAGCCCAGCCTGGCCAACTCAGTGACTTAGCCAGACCCTATCTCAGAAAATTAAGAAGAAGAAAGGGCTGGAAATGTATAGCTTAGTGAAAAGTTCCTGGATTCAAACCCCGGAACCCCCACTAAAACAGGAAGCTATAGGATCCAACTCTTCAATTTCCTTATCAATGGATTAAATATTTTACATGTAAGATACAAGACACATAATAACAAAATATTCTTCTGACCTTTAACGTTGAAACCAATTGTAGGCTGCCCAAGTTTAAACTATCACAAACAGGACGATCTGCTATTTCAGTCTGCAGAAACAAAAGTCAACATCACGAATCTACATTTTACATATCATGTCTGCTTGCCTTATACATCTAGATATCTACCTCAGTTATTTTCTCTGGTAATAGCAGCAAAGCTCCACATGCAATTTTTTGACTGATGAAAAAAACAGGACCCCTCACATTTAAAAAATATATTTCTTCATTAACCTTAGTTTCCCTAGTATGAGGTTATTTACAATGAAGGCATGTCAAAGAAACACGTTAAAGATTTCCTAAACACTAAGTGGCCAACTTGAGAAAGTCATATTGTCCATATTCGTTAAGGTACTTTATTTTTTCAGAGAAAATTTCATAGAAGAAGCCACCGCTGGGCATAGTGGTGCATGCTTGTAATCTCAGCACTTGAGAGGCTGAGGCAGGAGGATCGCCTTGCGTTCAAAGCCAGCCTAGGCTACAGTGAGACCCTGCTTAAAAAAAAAAAAATCATTGTACCTGTTCAGGGGATTGTTTATGTAACTCCAGGCATGCATTTCCACAGAGCTGATTTTCTCTGAAAGTAAATGACTCAACGAGTAGCGGTGCTGCTTGGGGCCCCGAGTCATGGTCACAGGCAGATTGTCCTCGCCTACCTGACACACACAAGCTGGTATCCAGCTCTGATGAACTGTCACATTGTTTACTGTCACTGGCAAGACTCACTGCGTCTTCCAAGTGAGAAAGTTGGGATGTAGAGCAAGTTTGTCTAACTTCAGTAGACACTTTTCCAGAGCAGGCTAGGGAGCCCAAAGCGGGAGTAGTGCCCACAATGGGGAAGGTTGGTAAGCACAGGTCTGCAGTAGGAGGGTCACTGTCATTCAGTGCAGCGGTGTTGGAAGGAGTGAAAAGTAACATGGATGAAGAAAGCCTCTTGTTTGTAGGCTGGCTCTTCTTGTTTGGCACTTGAAGATATGCTTTTTCTGGTAGAGCCAGGTCCTCTCCCAAGTCTTCTGCTGCTGCATCTATCCATTTAGGAATCAGTTCCTGCAGAACAATATAATTTTCCTCTTTTAGATGGCTCTCTCCATACATTTTTGATTCCAGAGGCTCACTTGTTTTTTCAGAGCAGGACTTCAGTTTTTCCAGTTTAAGAGGCCCAAAATCCTCATCGGGTAACTCAAAGTCTGTCATACTGAGAGTAGAGAGCAGTTGCTTTAAACTCAACATTCTGTTCTTGTAAAATGGAGAAGTGAAAGTATCACCATCCAAAGCTGAAGAAGCACTGTCACTGGGAGAAAGGGACTCTTCTTTTTGACAATGACCTTTCTTCCCTACAATAGAAAAATAAGCAACAGCAACAAAACCCAAACAGAGACATTAATATCCAATAAAGAATAAGTTTTTAAATTCAAATGTAACAGAAAATGTTCATTACTTCTCCCATCCATGACTTTCATTTTTTTCTTTGTAGTACTGGGAATTGAACCCAGGGCTTTCACACTGAGCTACATCCCCCAGCCCTTTCTCATTTATTTTGAAACAGTATTTTACTAAGTCACTCAGTTGCCCAGACTGGGCTCAAACTTGGGATTATCCTGCTTCAGCCTCCCAGAATGCTGGGAATACAGGTATGCACCACCTCATCTGGCTCCATCTGTGACTCTGAACCGTGGGTAAAGGGCTTAAATGAACTTCTGGTGGGTGGGTAACTAGCAGCTATTCTTTCATAGGACCCAAAAGAATGTGGTGCTGATGGTATTAACTGGGAGAAGGAAGACTGGGGCACAAGTGTCAGCCTAACCACTTGCATAGGGTGCAACCTCAGGCAAGTTGGTTCATTTTCCCTCTTCTCTTTCCCTTCAGAAGGGAACTGGACTAAAAATCTCTAACCTCCTTCTCACATGAAAAAGTGGTTCCAGATGGGCATGGTGGCACATACCTGTAATCCTAGCACTCTGGAGGCTGAGGCAGGAGAATGCCATGCATGACTCCAAGGCCAGTCTGGGCCACATAGCCAGACCCTGTCTCAAAGAACCAAAACCAAAACAAAACAAATTCCAGCAGGCTACTGGAGAATAATCTCCAAAATGCTAGCTCTTCTCATAAAAGAAAACTTAGTTCCCCTTTCAAGCAAAAAGTAATTTCTTGCTTTTACTGTGTCTGGAATCCTATCTTATTTAAAATGTAATGGCATCAAACTGATGAACAGATAAGCAGACACATGGTACATACAAACGAGGGAATGTTATTCTGCCACAAAAAGGAATGAAGTATTGATATAAGCTACATCGTGGATATAACTTGAAAATACTAAAGTGAGACACAAAGTGTCACCAACTGTATAATTCTATTTATGTGAAATACCCAGAACTGGTAAACGCATAGAGAGAGCATGCAGACTGGCTGCCGCCTGGGCTGGGAGCTGTAGGGGTACAAAGAATATAGGAGGCAGCTGCTTAAACAGTGATGTTTACTTTTGTTGACAATGTTGAACTAGAGAAAAATAACAGTGTAAATATACTAAAAAACGCAGATTTGTTCAATTAACTTAAAATAGTTAATTTTATGTTAGGTGAATGCCACCTTAATAAAAAGTTTTTCAATGTAGCTGCAGGTTACTAAAATCACAGCAGACTATTGCAAAGTCTAGGAAAATGTTTCTAGATTTTTACTGTACTGCATATTTGTTGCTTTCTTTGTATTCTTGTCTTAAAAGATGACACACCAGAGAAGGATCCAATCAAAAAAGGGAACTACAGGCTAATCTCCCTAATGAGAGTAGACACAAAAATCTCAAGATTCTGGCAAACAGAATACAGCAAATCATTACAAAGACTACATACCATGAACAAGTAGGATTCATCCCAGGGAGGCAGGGATGGTTCCACATACACAAATCTATGTAATGCACCATATTATTATCATTATTTGTGGATGACATGATACTCTACACAGAAGACCCCAAAAATTCCATCAAAATACTTCTATATTTAATAATCAAATTCAGTAGAATTCCTGTACACAAATAACAAACTCACAGGGAAAGAAATTACGGAAACACCTTTCACAATAGCATACACAAAAATGAAATACTTCAGTGTTCAAATGGGAAAGGCAACAAGGGAAGACGGAGGAAGGGACGAGAAAAAAAGCGAAAATAGAAGGAAAAAACAGAAACAAAGCTTCTGTACATAGGAAGGGGAGGGGCTTTGGGGGAATGGGATAAAATAAAACGTATTAATAAAAAAGTGAAATACTTAGGAATTAATCTAATGAAGGAAGTAAAAGACCTTTACGCTACAAACTAAAGTACCCTCAAAAAGGAGACCAAAAAGGATATCAGAAAATGGAGATATCCCTTGTTTTGGGGTAGGAAGAGCAAATATAATAAAAATGGCCATGCTCCCCAAGCTGTTATACAGATTTAATGAAATCTCAATAAAAATACCAAGAGCATACCTCACAAAACTAGAGAAAATAATCCTAAAATTCATATGGAACCAGAATAGCAAAAGCAATTCTGGGCAACAAAGGCAAGGCAAGGGGCACTGCGATCCTTGATTTGAAGTTGTTATATAAAGCTACCTGATTAAAACAGCATGATACTTGAAAAAAAGAAAAAGAAAAGAAACAAGAAATCAGACCCAAGGATCAATGGAAGAGACTAGAAGATGCAGAAACAACTCCAAGCACACTCAGCTACCTTGCCTTTGACAAAAGGGCCAAAAACACACCCTGGAAGAAAGATAGCCTCTTTAATAAATGCTGCTGGGAAAACTGGCTTTCTGCTTGCCAAAAAATTGAACCTAGATCCGTATCTCTCAACATTCACTAAACTAAAATCAAATGGATCAAAGATCTAAATATTAAAACAGAAACACAAGACCTGCTGGTAGATAGAATAGGAAGATAGAAGACTTTATGAACAAACCCCGATCACACAGGAAATATCACAAAGAATAAAAAACTGGTGGAGTCTCATCTTATTAAATTTCTGCATAACAGAAGAAACCACCAACAGAGTGAAGATGCAGCCCACAGAGTGGGAAGAAATTTTTGCCAACTGTCCCTCAGACAAAGGACTAACATCTAGTATATAAAGAGCAATAACAACAAAAAATCAGACCTCCCAAATTTACCCAATCCAAAAAATGGGCATCTAAAATGAAGAGACTTCTTAGATGACAAAGTAAACAGCAAATAAATATAAGAAAAAGTGTTCAACATCACTGGTCATTCAAGAGATGCAAATTAAAACAATGCTGAGATTCCATCTCACTCCAGAAAGAATGGCTGCTATCAAGTAATCAACCAATAACAAATGCTGGCACGGCTGTGGGGAGAAAGGAACCCCTCTCCACTGTTGGTGGGAGCGCAGACTGGTGCAACCACTGTGGAAATCAATGTGATTTCTCAAAAAACTAGGATTTGAGGTCCCATTCGATCCAGCTACTCCCTTTCTCAGTAGATTTCCAAAAGACTTAAAAGCATCATACCACACTGATATATGCGCAACCATGTTTATAGCAGCAGTTTGTAATGTCTAAATCTTGGAAACAGCCTAAATGCCCATCAACTGGTGAAAGGATAAAGAAAACGTGGGTTTTTTTTCTTTCATAAAATAGAGTACTACTCAGCTATAAAGAAGGATATAGTGGAGACATTTCTAGCTAAATAGATGCACATTGAGACCATACTCTTAAATGAAATAAATTGGATACACATGTGTAAATACTGCATCGTTTCTCTGGTGTGAGACCCCAAAAGTGTAAATAAGGTTGAAAATGCTTAATAGATATTAGAAATGGGAAGAAAATATTTAAATGGGATGAGAAACAAGGGAAGGTGTAGGAGGAAAGGACAAGAAAAAAAAAACCAGAAGGAAAAAATGGAAACAAAGGTTTTGTAAATGAGGGAAAGAAGCTGTGTGAGGTGGAGCACACCTATAATCCCAGCATAAGGGGTGCTGAGGCAGGAGCATCACCATAAGTTCAAGGCCAGCCTGGGCTACACAGTGAGTTCAAGGCTGGTCTGAACTACATGGCAAGACCTTGTCTCAAAAAAAAGTCGGCGGGGAGAGGAAAAAAAAGTAAATGAGGGAAGAGGGTTTGAACAGAGGGAGGGGGAATGGTGGTAAGCAAGATACAGGTACAGGTACAAATCCCTATGATGAATGTTATCATTTTTATATATAAAAAATGCTAATAAAATTTTAATTTTTTTGTTTTTTAAGACAGGGTCGCACTATGTAGTTGAGACTGACCTGGAACTCACTATGTAGTCCAGGCTGGTCTCGAACTCACATCGATCCTTCTGCCTCAGCCTCCCAAGTGCTGGGATTACAGGTGTGTGCCACCATGCCCGGCTAATAAAATTTTAAAAGTACATAAAAAGTCCAATAATGTAAAAAGAAATTATTTTTTTAAAATTAATTTAATCAATTATATCTAATACACCAAAGACTATGTTCACTGGTACAGAGCAGCCTACCTATTTTTGTGCAAAAACAGTTTTACTGAGATAGTCCCAATTGCATGCTGCCTACAGGTGGCTTTTGCACCAAGTTGGGTAGTTTCGACAAATGGAAAAGAGTACAATATTTACTATCTAGCCTCTGCAGGATGTTAGCTGATCTCTTTTTTTTTTTCTATTTTATTAATTAATTAATTTATTTTATAGTACCAGGAAATTGAACTCAGGACCTTGCACTTACAAGGTAGGCAGCAGAACCATTGAGCTAAATCCCCAGCCCCAGCTGATCTCTTATTTGAAGTCACAATGAATGATTCAATTTGGGTACTCAGTTTATCAAATACAATTAACTCCTGAGAAAATGAATAAAGAGTTTAAATTATAACACACCCTTCTTATTTGCTGCCCTCCAAAAGTGTGTGTCCCATAGGTTATACTCTAAAGATTATACTGCATATTATATCCAAGAAGTTGTTTGGGCTTTTTATTACATGATCACTTCTAAGCATTTTTTTCAACGAACTCTCACTCTAGACAAGTACCCTACCGCTACGCCACACCCAGTCCTGGATTCTCTTAACAATTTTACTTCAAAACACTTCCTATTTAAGATACATAAAGGTTCTACCTACAATGAAGTATGTGCTGTATTTGAATAAATGTTAGTTTTGGTAAGCACTCAACCTATTGCCCTTTGCAGCAATAACTTTTTTCACCACATTAGTAAAAGAAACAAAACAAAATAAAACAAAATCTTATGGGTGAGAAAGGGCCTGAGGGGGGATAAAGCTTATTTAAAAATAAACAGATTTTTAAAATTAAAAACCCACATTAATGAACTCTGGTATCATTTTAATTTTCCCATGCCTTACTTTCCTCATCTGAAATGTGGAGATAAAAACAGACTCTATCTTGGGTAGGGTTGCTGTAATGATCCAATTTTACTATCTGTATAGCATTTCTGGGGCGGGGGGCACTGGCCAATAAACCCAGGGCCTTCAGACTGAGCAAAACCCTGGGCCCATTTTCTAGAGACAGAATCTTACTAAGCTGCTCAGTTGCCTTGGCTAGGCTCATCATGATCCTCCTGCCTTGTCCTCCCAAAGGTCTGTGATTTCAGGCCTGTGCTACCAATACTGGTTGTATATAGCATTTAGAAAGCACCAGCACATAGTAATTATCAGCTATAACCATTATCATCAATAAACACAATCTTCCTTACCTTTAACCCTCTTATCGTGAATAACTGCCTTTTTATCCTGATGTCTGTGCCATGTGACTTCTTCCTCAGAACTGTTAACACTGGAAGAACTGTTAATACTGGAAGCAGGCAAAAGCAGTTCACAAAGATCTAGTGCTGAGGTGCTGACAGGTTTTCTTTTTGTTCTGTGTCTTCTACCACATGGCTGTGAAACAGCCTTCCTGGAATAGTTGCCATCTTCAGTGGGTCCAGCAGGAGAGCTGACTTCAGCTAATGAGAGAAGTTCCAGAGGACTTTTTGAATTTGGGTGAACTGGGCATGTATCTGGCATCTTAACTTCACTCCAATCAGTTTCTTCACTAGAAAGTTTTAAATCTTTAGTTGCTGTCTTCATTTTATTTTTAAACCCTTTCTTCTTGGCACCCAAATGACTCTGAATCACAGCTTCCAGGGCTACTTTCCTCTGGTAGTTTGACATGTGACGTGTTGTTCTAACATAGTATTCTACAGGAAATAGAAGGCCTTCAATCACTGTGCAAGAATGATTCTGATTTTCTGTAGAAACAGGAGAGACTACTTCTAGGCTAAGATTTTTATTACTTTGACTTAGAACTTCATCTTCCTGGAGGTTTATACTTCTACTATCGAGGGTATTACTGGGAGATCTTAAAGATGTCTCTGCATGATACTTTTCATTTATATTTTGGCTTATATTTGAGTTATCGTAAGTGAGTTCATTTACAGAACATGCATTATCTGTCTCTAAATTAGGACTTTTAGGTAGCTGGCTACTAGTACTTACAACTTCATTTATTACTGAATTATCTGTGCAGACAGTCTTTTTTATACCTTGTGCATCCAGATTTATATATGAAACAGAGTTAATCTTTTTGAATCCCTGTGAAGTAAGTTCACAGTGACTTTTAGGAGGGACGTGTTCAAGGTGCTGACTACTACTGCTGTCTGATACAGTATGCAAACGAACTGTAGTCTCCTTTAAAAAACTCTTTCCTCTTGCTGATATATCAACACCTCTTTCTGACTTGGCAGTTGGTGGAATTAATTCACTCTTTCCATCATTTTCTGTAACTGGTGCTGGAAAATCTTGAATTTCAGATTCAGGACTTGAAAGGTGAGTTACTTCAGCAACTGATAACCTAGGATTTTTGTTATTGATTGCTTCCTGTTTCTTTAATCTTTTGCCAGAGAGTATGAGGGAACTGATGTCAAGGAAATCTCTCTCCTGTGAACTAAGTATTCTCTTTGGCCGTTTTTTTCTCCCTGGTGGCTCACTCTGTCTTTTCTCACCAACAGGATCATTGGCCTTATAGGGTAAGTGCTCTTGGGTGTCATCTGTTCTTTGTAAACATAAACCTTCCTCCAGGGCATCTTCAGAGTTAAAAGACTCAGGCTCAATATCTAGTGTCATAGATGTCTTTTCTCCAGTTTCCTCATCAAGATGCGTACTGATCTGTAACTTTCCACAAGGAGTTCCTTCATTTTTTGGCTCTGAGGAGAAAAAAATGTACCTAAGTTTCCTTTTAAAATGGAACAAACGGGCCGGGGATGTAGCTCAGCAGCTCCACACCTGTCTAGCAAATGTGAGGTCCTGAGTTCAATTGCCCCAGCATTCGGGAGACTGAGGCAGGAGGATTGCTGCAAGTTTGAGGCCACTGTGAGTTGAACACAGTGAGTTCAAGGCCAGCCTAAACCACAGAGCTTGAGACACTGTCTCAAAAACAAAACAAATATATATAAGTATTACAAGGCTACAGATGTAGCTTAGTGGTACAGCACTTGCTCAGTATGTATGAGGCCCTGAATTCCAATCCCAATACTACAAAAATAAGTAAGTAAATAAAATATTATATATATTTCTGAATATTTATTTCAAAAGAATCAAAGGCATTTCATTCTGGCAGAACAAGGTTCAAGTCTTAAAAATTCCAACAGCTACAAAATTTTACGTAAATGTAAACAAAATTATGCTAAAAAGTGTTTCTTTTAAAGACTATTTTTTTTTCTCAATAATCTTTTAATTTTTAATCTCATCTAATTTCTTCTGGTGCTGGGGACTGAGCCTAATGCATGTGCATTACCACTGATGTATATACACTCCTAGGCCCTAACATAATTTCTTTTAGGTTTCTTTCTTTTCTTTCTGCTTTTTTTTTCTTTTTTTGCTTATGTAATTTAAGTGGTAGCCACCATTTTCTCATTTCAATAGCTACCAACTTTGCAGCACATAATGATCACATTTATTGTGGGGGATTTGTACATGTACATAATACATGTCCTTTCTTTTTTGTCCTCTTCCCCTACTCTCCTTCCAACACTTCTTTCCATTGCTTTTTAAGGAGTATTTTTCTTTGTGCATATGTGGGTAATTTCAAAAAATCAATTCTGATATTTGAACTTTAAATATAGTT